GGGAGGGGGGGGGCCTCAGACACGGTCTACGACGACGTTCGAAACGATGTCGAACCGACAACGAAACGACTGGTCGTTTCTGACTGGGTAGGTAAAGTCAACAGTCCGGCGTTACCCGTTGCCCATTGGTTGTCCCGTCGTTGCGCCCGCGCGGGTCAGGGGTCACTCGGCGGTCACCGTCACGCCACGACCAGCAGCCCTACCTGCCGGTGGGCGCAGGTCGCCTCGTGCGCCGCCTTGCTCAGGTAGTCCATGTCCTGCGGGGCGGGGCAGCCCTGCGGCGCGTAGCGGCAGGGGTAGCGCACGGAGCGCGCCAGCCCGTTGAACATCCTGCGGGGGCCCGGACAAGTACAGTGTTAAAAGAAGATTTTGGAAAATGAAACGTGGTTCCTTCTGGTAGAGGCAGTCTTGGGGACTTGGGGGGAAATATATAATATGTGGGAGTTTTGGGTCGACCTGCAGGGGCCCGGGCGGCCGCGCATCGCGGGCGGCAGGCGGGCGCCGCAGTGGGCGCCGCCCTGGGGCACGGTGCACCGGAACAAGGGCGCGCCCTCGGGGACGGCGGGCCGGCAGTCGTGGCACAGGAAGTGGCCCTCGGCGCACTGCAGCACGGGCGGCACCGTGTGCAGCCCGCACCGCGCGCACGACATGCGGCGCAGCAGCTCGCGGTTCAGCTCGGCCGTCATGGCCACCTGCGGGAAGGTGGGAAGGGTTTGGCCTCTCGTCCCTGACGCCGCTGCCGTGCCACCCGGTCGCCGTCGTGGACTCACCTGGGGCAGGCCGTCGTCGCCCTCGGCGCAGTGCAGCGGCCGACACGTGTGCGCGAAGTGCTTGAGCTTCTCGTACAGCCCCAGGTGCGGCCAGCCCTCCGGCTGCGGCGGCTGCAGCTGCGGCGGTGGCACCTGGCGCCGCTGCGGCTGCGGGCGCAGCTGCTGCCGGCGCAGGTGGTGCACCGGCACCGGGGCCGCGCGCTGCCCGAGGTCCGCCATGGCGAGCATGCACTGGTACAGGTACGCCTCGCCCTCGCCGTCCATGGCCTGTTCCGGGCGGGCGCACAGCAGCTGCGGGGCCCCCGGCTCCCCGTCGAACAGCTCCGGGAGCACGAGCTCCGGGAACACGATCCGGCCGTTCCTGGTAATGGGCAGCCGCGGCGATGCTGGAACAGAGCGACGTCGGCCTTAAAGCGGTTCGCCGCGCCCCGGCCTCGGTCTCGCGTTCCCCCCGTTCAGTGATCGCGCACCCGGGAGGCTCGGGCCGCACGGTGTCGCCGTGGACTCCCAGTCGTCGGCAGTGGGCGAGTCGGCCGTGGAGAACTCTGAGGCGTGGCCGAGACCCTCCGCGCTGTCCTGGCGCCGGGGCGCCGGCTCCCCCGGCGGCAGTTCGGGAGCTGGAGGTGGCGGGGGCGGTGAGTAGGCGGGGGCCGGGGAGGGCCGGGGCGCGTCTTGGGGTAGGTCCTCGCGGGGAGGGTCGACAAACTCATTCTCGCGTGCGCTGCAGCGCTTCATCGTGTTGTTGTAGAAGTCGGTGAAGTCGTCCAAGACGGCTACCACCACCTCCTCCCTGATCTCCTTCTCCTCCTCCGCCAGCTCCTCAGGGGCTCGGGCGTCGTCGGTGTGGGGCTCTCCGGGGACGTCGTCCAGGGATCTCAGGCTGGTCGAGGGGGTGAGCATGGCGTCGTGCGCTCTCGGCTCCCCGAGCTCGCCCCCCTGCTCCAACCCGTCCTCCTCCCCGCCCTCCTCTACGCTTCCTCCTCCTCCTCCGTCACCCCCGTGGCCCCCTTTGTCCGGCGCTCCCCGCTGTCGCGCCCGGGACGTCTCGGGTACCACCGCGACGGCGCCGCCGTCCCGGCCCGGCTGGAGGGGGCAGGGATTGGGTTTCAAACGATGAGAGTGCCCGGTCCGGAGCGAGTAAGGGTGGGGGGGGG